CTAAATTTATTTTGAATGATTAAAAATAAGGTTGTACACGAGTTGGGCTAGGTTGGGAAATTCTTATGAACCAATTCAAAAATTTGAGTTGGTTGGGTTAGTGCCGAAACAACCCCAATATAGTTCACAACGTACTCAACCCAACCCTCTTTTGGGGTTTGGTTGTCAGGTTGTTCTTTTTAAAAAGAATCTTAATTATCACAGTGCATGTTACATTAATAACTAAAATCTCGTAAAGTTTCAATGTAAAATACTTATAAATCACAACAAATTTCAAAAAAATGTCAAGTTGGATTGGACTCAGTTGTGTCGTAATCCTATTTTCGAGTTGATTCAGTCAAACAAATGTCAACCAAAAACCGAACCAAAATATCAAATTTCAAAAAAATTCAACTCAATATAAAAAAAAATCTAACTGAAACTAACATTTATGGTTTGGATTATGTAGTCTGAATTATCAATCATATAAACACTTTTAATTAAAAACATTTTAGAATAGGATAAAAATTATTAATTATTAAATGAAACTTGATTTTTTTTTTTCTTTCTTTCTTTTAGTATATTGTTAAAGTTTTTTTTTTATAGTACACATTTATATTTCTTTAATATAGAAGTTTTTATTCCAAAAAAGAAAAATAATTAAAAATAAATAAAAACTATAAATAGAAGGTGTATAAAATAAACCTTGTAAAGCCTTCAAATGTTGGATGGAAGTTAATGCATATTTGTCAAAATTTGGTGTAATTTCACATGCCCAAAGCGTGTGCCATAATTTACCAACCACGTGCTTTCATATATATATATATATATAATTAAATATATATATTTTAGGGAGAGAGCCCATTTATTGAGTCCATAATTAAATTTTCAAAAATGAAAAATTATATATAATAAATTAGTAAGCAAATGTTTGTTGTTCCTGATGAAAATTTCTAGTTTTGCCCTTCATTTCTATGAAGAGATATTCCATTTCATATTAAGTAGAGGGGTATATTAGGAATCCAAAAATACATTAAATTTTGACGTCATTGTAACTATCACACTTTTAGGTTTAAAGTGAAAGATATTATATTGTTGCAGAAACGGAAAGTGACCAGTTATTCTCGATACCTTATTGTAGTAAAATTATTTTTTTTAAAACTGAATAATATCATACTATCGAAGAAATATAAAGTGACTCGTCCTTCTCGATGTCCTGAACAAGTTGTTTGGTTTGAAGATTTTATTTAAGATACCTCGACATTTAAAAATATAATGTCCAAAAGTAAAAATTAATTGTGCCGTAAAAACACGAGAATATTATCATAATTTCATATAAATAAATATATTTATATTTGGTTGTGATTTTATTGTATTAGATAATTAATGGTGGGTGATTAATTTATTTTTAATGAGTTAAATTATCAAAATAATTTTAACCCACTAAAATTTAATTTAATTTACAACTTAATAACCATCCCTAATAAAATTATAATAATTAGTACACATCATAATTTTAATAAATAAGTAATCACATTTATTTAATATTTTCTTAGAAATAAAGTAAGTAAACATTTTAATAAATTAAATAATTAATTATATTAACATTATTAATTTAATATCAATTAGTCAATTAATTAACTAATTAGATAAAATCTTCCTTAAGAAGAAAAGGTTGATATCTAAAAATAATTTATTTCGAGATAAACGGTTGAAAAGTGTGTCCCGAGCATGAATTTAGCTCGTCAAAGTCTATTTCCATCCAACAAAACGAGCCCGAAAGAGAAATTTTCAAAACCGGGAAAGAGAGGATGAAATATATTAGGTAAAGGGCAAATGTGGGACATAGAATAAGGTAGGTGACATCATTAATTAGTACATAATTAGAAGAATGAAAAGAAAAAATTAGGCTGTAAAGTGGTAATGAATTATATATATATATATATATATTCAAGTTTAAGCTGTCATCTTCCATTTTCCATTGGGTCCAATTAACATATACTTTATTTTTCTTTTTTCTTCAATCAATGTTTTTAAATTAATATAAAGTTGACCCACTAATATATATATATATTCTCCTTTATTTCATCATTAAATAATTTATTAAATAATATTATAATATTGAAAATGATATAGTTAAAAAATACTTTTAAAAAATTGATGGTTCCTGTCTATGTCATTACAATGAACCTTCTTTTTTGGTGGTTCGGTTATAATAACTTCAAAGTCAAACGTAGTTGACTTGAAACAATCCTATATTGGGTGATCTCGTAAACGTTTTACTAATAAGCATTGACAACAGAACGTGCTAAAATGACTCGTGTTGGTCAGTGAGACAGTCTTCACTCTTATAAAGATATTCTTAAACATTATTTTTCTCGGTAACTTAAACTATAAGGGTATTTTTTAATATTTAATTCACATTAAATATTAATTAGTTAATTTAATAATTTTGTATTTGAAATCAAAATTCTAATTATTTAGTTTTTAGGGTTTAAATTATACAAAATTCAAATTTTGTTTAAAATAAAAAAGAAAATATTTATTTATTTATTTTGCTAACTCATTTTTATTAAATATTTTGAAATATGGATTTAAAATTTTGGAGTGTAACAAATAATAAAAAAAACGACTAAATAAAATTAAATTATAATTTTAAGGTAAGAAAAAAAAATTATCTTGCAATATAATTGTATTTAAATATATATATTTTAAATCACAATAAATTAGATACGACTTTTTTTAATAAAAGAAATCACATTGGGGGAGGGGGCCACGTCTTAGCATATTTGATGCTGATGTGGAAATTAATTAAATGTCTATTTCTATCAGACAAGATCAGTTATTAATTAATTAATTAATCTTAAATTTTAATGAAAATTTCAAGATGGAACGTGCCTTCCTCAAATTAGCAAAACAAATAATAAATAAAGTTTTTTTTTAAATAAAAATATAAAAATCAAATTTTATATATATATATATATATATATATATATATATATATATATATATATATATATATATATAAATGGGAATGTCATAGTCATGACCTTATGCTATTAAAATACTATGTATAATAAATTATAGTTTACATTTTATAAATAATTATTGAAGTGTTAATTAGAAATTAAAAAATTTTAAAATAATATATTTCATACATAATTTTATTTGACTTTTAAACCTAAGTGTGGTTATTATAAATGAATATAAATAATTCTTAATCTACCGGTATTTAATAATATAAGATATATAATTTAGCATTCTATCGAATGATGCTAACGAAGCCAAGAGGTCCATCCCTACTCACCATGAGTTAGCCCGAGATGCAACCCTAACACATACATTAGTTTGGGAGAGAGACTAATCACATCGTTAAGATACACAATTTATATGTACTTAGCTCGAATCTGCTTCATTGTAGCCTTAGTATTAGAGAACATTAAACCACACCCGTGTGAGACCTAATCTCGTAGGTCTGCTCGTACACGTTTGACAAGAACAAGGAAGTTGGTGCTTACTTGTTAGGCTAGATTTACCCAAACACTCATAAACATGCATTCAACATGGACATTTATAGCATATCTAACGAGCAAATTTGAGAACAATTCATATGATTAAATCATTATAATCAAGTATCTTCATGTAAGAGCTCAAGCCCACTACTAGCAAATATTGTCCACTTTGGCCCGTTATGTATCGTCGTCAGCCTCACAGTTTTAAAACGCGTATGCAAGGGAGAGGTTTTCACACCCTTATGAGTGTTTCGTTCTCCTTTCCAACCAATGTAGAATCTCACAATCCACCCCCTTGGAGGCCTAGCGTCCTCATTGGCATACCACCCAATGTTTGACTCTAACATCATTTGTAACAGCCCAAGTTCACCACTAGCAGATATTATCCTCTAGCCTCTTACATATCACTATCAGTCTCACGGTTTTAAAACGTGTATGCTAGAAGGAGGTTTCCACACCCTAATAAGGAATATTTCGTTCCACTCTCCAAACTAACGTGGAGATTTCACACTTCATCCTAGAGAAACGCTAACCAAGTAGGTAATTGTAAACTCGTTTTAATTTGAAACATTGTTGAACTCCAAACATAGCCATATCATTAAGAACGAGTCGGTTCGATTGGGTACTTTTCGAAATTATATTAAACTATGAGGAAGTTTTGTTATTATTAAGGTTTGGGAAGGTTAAACACAAGAATTTAAGACATGGTTGGAATGTTTTTCCAAAAAATGAGGAGAAAACAAAGTAAGAAGAAGAGGACGAGGTCACAAATCTTTGTTGTGTTTGAAAAAGTCAACCATTGTTAATGGTAGACTTTAATGGGGATGTTTTCTTCCCCAGAAAAAAACATAAATAAATAAATAAATAATTGAGGGAAATTGGCCTTCATTGGATCCTCTCCATCAAACAAAAACTTTCAAATTTGTTTCCTTGCCTCTCCTTTTCTTGCTCTCTCGTCAACGTCAGGATCGAACCTTCAAATTCAAGAACGGTAATAGATATCTTATCTGTTGGGTTATGTTCGAGTTCGTTTTCTGTATGTTTCCTTTGCTTTTGAGGTTTCTGGTAGATTTTCGTTTTTTTTCTTTTTTCATACATTAAGATACTTGTAGTTATCGAGAAACTTGGATTTATGTAGTAAATGTTATTGAAGCTCTCGGGTAATTTTTGTTTGGATGGTTTGAGTTTATGATCGGTAAAAGCTATCGTGTTCGAATATCCGCTCAATATAGGTAATGATTAAATGCTCAAAGGAAAGGAGCTGAATGGCAACAAATAAAGCAAAGGACAGCAGCGGTTTGGGGAAGGAGAGGAAGATCACAGCTCCAAGTTCTCTTACTATTCCTAATACTTCAACCAAGAGAACTCCAAAATCATCTCCCAGAGGACACTCAACTGATCACAAATTATCTTTTTCGTCTTCTTTTTCTTCTTCCTCTGCCGCTCATCTTTCGACGCTCGCCGAGAAACATGTTCCGAACTATCTCAAGTCCACGGCCAGCTCCCGCCATGAACATAGCAGCTTCAAATCAACCAAGAAGTCTGCAGTCCCTGCTCCGATACCTGAGGGCAAGGCAGGTTTGAATAGAAGAAGATCTTTCGACAAACCCCCTTCGACTGCACCGCGTTTGGATAAGCCATTTCGATCGCCTGGACCGAGGAATAGGGTGAGTAATTTTCCAATCCGATCGTCCTCTTTTGGGGCTAAATCCACCAACGCGGTTATCAGTTCTGCAAAGGTTGGTTTGTTGGAGAGATCAGGTTCCAGAAACACCAAAGGGGGAGGAGGGAAGCTACAGATTCAACCAGTTCAGAGTTTGAGAAGTAGTAGTAATGTAAAGAAAAGCTTGAAGAGAGAATCTAGCAATGCTGCATCAGCGGAAATGGTTCACAAGACCAAGAATTCTGTCGAACATGTTGATCCGAGTCCTTCGTTCGTTCTCGGCATGAACGACGAGGAGTTGAAGAAGATCGAGTACGAACTCGACCCTTATCTTCCTGATCCAATGCCAGAATTCAGCAAAGAACTTAGAACTGATCACGTGGAAAAGAATGCAATTTTGGATAAAGAAGAAACTCCACAGGCAGCTGCCGCCAAATCATTAGAACAAAATGAAGGGGAAACAGAGGAAGGAGCCAGAAAAGAGGAGAACCCAGAGAGAATTGGAGTAGAAGAAGAGGAAGTTGTTGCTGATGCCGTTGAGGAAGAGAAGACCGAGACAGATCCCGATCACGATATCGATCCCGATCAAGTAGGTGGGGAAGGAGGCATTGTTTTAGATAAGGAGGGTGGAGCGGGTGGGGCAAAACCACGACAAGGAGGAGCGGGGAGAGCTTCGGCGGTGTACAATGATGTGATAGAGGAGACAGCAAGTAAGCTGTTGGAGAAGAGGAAGAACAAGGTAAGAGCATTGGCTGGGGCATTTCAAACAGTCATTGACTATGAATCTTCATCCAAATGATTCATAATTCTCCATTCATTAATTTACCTTTTTCACAAGGGATTGATCGTTTCTGAATTTCATCCCTTACATTTTTTTTTTCTGTCTATTCAAATTGTTGTATTTAATTACATTATTTTTCAAGAACTTTGTATAAATGTGAGGATAGTTTTTTTTTTTTTTTGGTTTGGGTTTGAGCAAATTTTGAAATGGTTACACACTACTAATCCCCATTGCTACCTAATAAACCAATTAAAGTACCTAAAGCAATTCAATGAACTCAAAGAAGCCAAAAGGTTTGGTCAAAAGTCCAAACGAATTATTGTCCCAAGAAAGGGCTTGATCATCGTGGACATACGCAGCACCTGCTTTACCTTCACCTATCGTGAAAAGAAAAGTTCCCTTACGATAGGCCCTCCCATCTCCCGAACGTCCTTCGTACAAAATAGTACAATAAACCAACAAGACAAGAATGGACTCATCAGATGGGCGGTCAGGGAAACGAACTATTTCATTTGTGTCACCTACCAAGGGAAATGATCAAGGAATTCTCTAGAGAATGAGCCACAATTTCTTCTCAAGATGGTATAAAAGTCCCCGTTTGAACTTTCTTTTCTTCAAGACATTACTTTTCTTCTTCTTTTACGAGTGGGTCTCAACTCTCAAATTCCATGAACTTTCTTTCCTTCTTCTCTCTCTCTCTCTATAAATCCATCTCTCTGATCTTCAAAGTCCACCACTACTTTCCCAACCGGACTTTTCACCCAAAACCCAAAAGCAGGGAATCAGAAAGCAAGAACCCAAAGGAAAAGAAGAGATGTGTTTGGTGTTTGTGTGTGATGAGGACCAGAGGATCCTGTCGAGGCAGCCAGCTCCAGGGGCATGTCCCTACTGCAGAGGCACGATCCAGGCCACCGACGTAGAAACCAAATGGAGGTTCTGTTTCCTCCCTCTCTACTGGAAAACTAAACGCAAGTTCAATTGCACCAGCTGTACCAGAGACCTTGTTATGCAGTAGAAACACTGTTATCTTACAGATTTGTTCTTTTCCATGATCTTTGAAGTTTAGATGGGAGTGACCCATCTTATCTTCGTTTTGAGATTATGATCAGTGTTTGTGTAATAATCTCCTACTATCTTAAAAAGAGATATACTGATATACATACCTTGAGATTGCTAGAGAATTTTGACCTTTCTCCACGTCTCTTCTATGATTATGAACTACTGTGTATGCTGCATGATCTCTATAGAAATAGATTGCAGTTCTGGATTCAAAACGTAGAATGAATTAATCAGATTTTAACATGAACTAGAAGAGGTGCATAAAAATAATCAGCAGCCCTTTTAACGTCGAATTCACGAAAGCCGTTCTTCTCTCTCACTTTTTTGAGTTGGGCAGGGTAGTTGTAAAGGAAATTACTGCTCATCAATCCTTAAAATTTAATACTCCATCACTTACAGAGTTTCAGCTTTTTAAAAAATGGTGATACAACTGATTTGGGGTAGGGCTTTGAGGCAAGACATGTTGGAATGTTCTCTGGCTGTTCTACCCACAGTTTATGGACGATTGAATTTGCTTTAAGTTTCTCCGATAAGTTAACGATCTGAGTTTCTCCCTTCACCTCGAGAGTAACCTACAAAACGAAAAAGTGATATAAAGTCAGCATGATAATTCCCAATTCGGGGACCAAAAAGTCCAGAGCGGCATACGGGATCAATGAAATATAAACACCAGTAATTTCAAATTAACTTGCACGAGATGGTAATCTGAAACGCAAGGACATTTCCAAAGTCCATTTGGTAGCTCAATCGTTTTGAAAACTTGAAACGAAGAGAGTTTGCATTAAAATGGAGCTGGTTAAACAGGCTGTCATGCAAAATGGCGGTTAACCATGAAGAATACTTGAAAATTAAATAAAACTAAAAGAAAATGAACTAACAGAGATATGAAAGTAATGAGCTGTCCTTGACCTCCGACTAGGGTGGAGATTCTTAAGTATATGACCATTAGGAGGAAAAATGAAGACATTCAGCTCCATACGAGCAAGATTGATTCAAACTTCAGAATAACAAAAATGTATTTCCTCGGACGGAAAAAAACGCGAACCGTAATAAAGAAAAAGACGTCAGATAGATAATTGTCCTAAAATGTTAGACACGTAACGAAAGAAATATTGAAGATCAGCTCGACAGATAAAATGTTCTTCCCCAACTACAACCGCAGCACGGAATTTCCAAATTGCTGAAAAATGTTTCATCTGTCAACCTTCAGAACCGACATAACAGAGCACCAAGACAGAAAAATTTCAGCATTTCAACAAACAAGAATCAAAACTATGGAAGCATACTGTATAGTACGAGTTCGATGTACTACCGTTGAAAATAAAAGTTCGGCTAACCTTGTGCATAGAATCGATATTTTGGGGACTACAGTACTCCGAAGTGTGAGGATCGTCTTTATTCAACCAAATGGCGGAGACTGAAGCATGGCATCCCTGAGTCACAACACTTCCGAGCGGCCACGAATCGATCAGATCTCTCCGTAGCACCACGTACTGAACCAAAACGTCGGCGGCCTCCTCCGCCTTCGCTCCGCCGTCGTCTAGTGGAAGAACAGAATTACTTTCAGCAGATTCACTCATAGAAGCCGAGCTAAATGAAATGGAATTCCAATTCCAAGAGAGGAGACAAATTGAAGAAGGTAGCCAAACCCTAGCGTTCGAACACAGCCTCGCGGAATTCGAAATGGAGAATGTAAATCGAGATGCTGAAATCACCGATGCCATGATATCTCAACACACAGGAAGCAAATGAAGCCGTCAGTCCAAAAAATCTATTGGGCCTTTTGGGCCTGAGTGGTGGACTAGCCATTATGCCCAAGCCCAAATGAGGCCCAAAGTATTTTATGACGTCATAATTATAGAAGGGATATTAGCGTACGTGTACTTGTTTATACCATCTTTGTATACTATGCATAATAATGGAGTTTTTAAATATTTCTTTTGAATTTAAATTCCAACACTATTTTTATTTTATTTAAGTCATTTAAAATCAAAACTCTAAATATTAATTAATTTATAGCTTATTCCAATTTTTTTTAATCATCAAATATCCACGTCATTTATGTCCAAGTCATTGCTCAATTATTTTAGGAAGTAAGTTTTAATTTATTATTTTTTCCCCCAACAAACAAACATAATTGAAAAAAAAAACCCCAAATTTCCAACAAATCAAAATTGAAATTATCTTATCTTATCTTTTGGTTCCAAAGTTTCAAATCAATACCTAATAAAAGAAGAACAATATTCAAACTTTTTATTGAATTTCTTGAGTGGATTTGACTCCTATTGATGTTGATTACTCGTTCAATTTATTTATTTATTTATTTTTAAAAGAAATAGAAGATTAAGATCGAGTCAAGAAGTTTTTTTTCTTTGACATTTTACACCATACTTTGTTTTGTAAAATCATTTATCGAAAGCGAGCACGACTTAACTGACTGGATTATGACACATCTGCTATCAACCAATGAGTCTGAGATTTAAATATTTCTAAAGGCGTACGGATACCATAGATCAAAAGCGTATTAGTCATTTTTAAAGTTGAAGAGAATGAAGTGTTCAAAAAATTCGATCAACCCAACTCAACCTATGCAGGTTGAGTTAGGTTACGAACATATTTTGGTTTAAAATAAATAAAAATTCTATAAATTGATTTTGTAAGAGTTTCGTTAAGATGGGATGAAGTTGAATAAAATCATATAATTATTATACGGATATTTATTTAATTTTATAATTATTTTTTATTATTTATTCTCCCATACTTTTAAAAATATTTTTTTTTAACTATTTGAAAAAATAAAATTTTAAAACATACATTGGAATTTTCAATTGCAAATATTAAACAAACCAATCCAAACAAAAAAATTAAAAGAAAGGATAAATATTTATTTTTGCTCTAATTTATCCCTAAAAAAATATACAGAAATTAAGATTGAAAAAAAGAAAAAAAGAAAAAACTTTATATTGGATAGGTGTGTGCAAATTACAATAGATAATAGGAGAAAATAAAATTAAGGAAGAAAAAAAAAAACAAATAACCAAAAAAAAAAAAAGAAGAAGAAGAAAAAAGCTAAGGCTACGGATTAATGTTCTTGTGGTTGATCATGGTGCCGCTGTTGCAGATCCGCCAGAGAAAAGCATCTCGACTTAAAGCTCATAAACCGTCTTCGATGAAAATCTGAAACTATTTTTATTTTCGGTTCTTCATCTTCAACTTCATTATCTTCCGAAGAATATGAAGCAGGTGATTTTTTTTCTTCTTCGTCGCCATCATCATCATCTACTTCTCTGAGCGCTAACAGAGGCATCGACTTAGGGTTCGGCCAGGTGTAGAACGACGATTTCTTAGCCAATTTTGACGCAATCAAAATTCTTCTTCTCTTATTGAAAGAGTTTTCAGGTTTCACAATGTCTTTTACTGATTTCGCCTCTGCTAGATTCGCAAACGATTTCAATTTTCCAGAAAAGTGACTCGATAAGCCTCTCCTGCTTTAAAAATGCAATGAAACTCAAATTGAGACCAGCAGATTGAAGAGGAAAACGTCTTTTAGCATTTTAATCGAATCGAGTGATTGAAGTTTTCTCAATCAATTAATCGATCAAACAACAAAGGAAGAAAACGAAAAGAAACGGTAAAACTAAATTCGGACTCACTTAATCGGAAGAGACTCTTCCAACGATCCGAGAGACGCGAATCCTGAATCCAGTTTACTCCGAACCTCCTCCTCATGATCTCCACCAGTGGACGAAATGCTCTCATCCTCGCTCTCATCACCATCAGGAACTCCGATCGAGGAAGAGGAATCAGAACGGTAATCGATTTCATCCTCCGGAGCTTTACGGACAGCGTAAGTTCGGAAAGAATTGAAACAGTTCCAAGGCGAATCAAGAGCATGTTCCAGCGGCGGCGGAGGCGGAGAAGCAGCGGTCCGATCTCTGACAAAAGACGAAGAAGAGGCAACCTGGATGGTGAAAGAGGGAGGACCGATGAGAACCTCCATGAAGGCGAAGATAAAGAATCGTACGGAAGTGGAAGCGTCGGGAGGCCTTCTTCTAGCGCTCGCCGGCGAAGACTTCGCTGTCGGAAAACGTTGGATAAAGGGATAGTGATGGCCCTAACAGAGAGAGAAAGAAAGATGAACAGAGTGGAAGGAGAAAATACGATCCATAAAAGAAAGGACTGTGAGAAAGGAAGCAACTGATTATTATTATTATTATTATTATTAACTTCAAATATTAAAAAACAAATAACAATTTAAAAAATACTATTTGCTCTCAATTTTAATTATTTTTAAATTACAAATTGGCCAATATAATTTCTAGATGATAATTATTAATTTTGTTGGTATAATAATTCAAAATTTTAGTTTATATATTTAAAACAAAAAATCTACTAAATAATATATTTTTTTAACATAATTAACTTCAAGGTGAAACTTGTAATTTAACATTATTTAATATTTTTAAATTAACTTAATGCATTATAAATAAAAAATTATGGCTAAAAAATTCAACCCTACCCCTCATATTTCTAATATTATATTAATAAAATAATAATAATAATAGCACATCCACAATTTTTATAAGTAATTCAATTTTTTATTAATTTTTTAATTGTTTTTTAATAATATGAAAATATAAATTTAAATAAAATTAATGGTATTAATTTTATTTTTGAAAGTTCTATTTTTTTAATTAATAATTATGGTTTCATTTATAGATTAAAAATAAGGATATTTTTAAATTTTTGTAAATATTAATTAAAATTTTACAATTTAAAAAAATATTTTAAAAATAAAATATAAGGCTTCGTCCATAAAGTAAGAGTATATTTAAAAAAATATAAAAAATTTAGGTAGAAAATATATAGTTTTGGAGTATTTTTTATTATTTATTAATTTAGCAACAAAAAAAAAACACACACACACACACCAAAACGGTGCCGTATTACCCGGAATGGATTTTTGACTGGTTCAAGATGACGTGGCAAAGTGGGGCCCAAGAAAAAACGTTATCGTGTTTGCTTTAATTGGATAAAATAAAAAAGGGTCCCACTTTGTTGATATATTTAAGTAATCTTTTTTTAATTCAAATGAAATTCTAATTAATATCCATATCACCGTACCCGGATTTAAATAGGAATATAATTATAGCCTAATCCTATTCAATAAATAAACATTTAAATTGAAATTTAATTCCTTTTTGTTTTTGTTTTCCTTTTTAATTTTAATTAAGTAGCTTTTAAATATACTCTTTCTATATAAAAAAATTAACAATTTTCAAAACTTTTTAAAACGTCTCTAATTTTAAAAATTGCCTAAAAAATTTATAAATTTTTAATTTTATTTCAAATGAGTTAAATTATCAAATTATTTTTTAATTATTTAAAAAAATTATACTTATCCCAACTAACTAAAATTTATGGTAATAATATTTTTTAGACTTTTTTAAAGTTTAAATATATTATTTTAGATAAATAAAAAATTTTAAGATATTTTTATTAATGTAAAATAAAAGATAATTGGATAATTAAAAAATTGGTTTATGGCTAAATAGATACCAATTAAAGTTGAAGAATGCTTATCCACTAATATTTGTCTTTTTTTTTTCTTTTTTTAATTTTTTTATGGGTATAATAATCAAATCTACTTTTGCCCACTGATTTTTCTTCTAAAGAATTTTATATTGAATTAAATATTAATTTCAGTCAAATTCTAGAAGATAAGATTTTGTGTCTTTCTATATATATATATATATAGATAGATATATAGATATATTAATAATATTGTGTAACCCTTCCTACTACGACTCACTTGGTACTTTTAAGAGCAAAATCTATTCATACTGACCAACTCGAGTACTTTTATGATGCTTCTTCCTCTACTATGGTCACGTTACTTATTCAGTAGTTTTAAGAGTGGAGACCGTCCCTATAGATCAACTCGTGTCCTTTCAAGATAACCTTGACGTGTTGATTCAATATATTTTGTCTTAATTCATAAATTTTAGGAGGACTAAAATGAAAAGAAAAAAAAAATTGAAGAATAAATTAAGATATTAGAGAGAATCGGGCCCAGAAAAATCTTCTTGAGCGTTGTTTGTTGAACAAAATAGCCACCATGGAGCCCTCAAAGAGACTCTCACACCCCTTCCTTGGTATGAGGGATATCTATTTATTCTTCGACCTCTATTTATAAATATTCTTTAAATTAATCATTTTTTCGATGATAAAATATTTTTTAAAATTATAAATTTAAACATAATTCGTGAAATTCAATTTGTTGGTCGAAGATGTCTTAACCAGCAAGAAACGCTCGGGTTGGCTCAAGTTGGCTAATCGGCTAATTGATAGGACAGATGATAATTGGATATGAAATTAGGTCTAATCAATTGATTAAATCTTAATGCTTATTTAATATAAGTTAAAGTTTGATTATTTAATGAAGAAATATCAAAATAATTATAAAATGGAAAGACCAAGAAATGGTTCGAAAAATTCTATGGTGGAGGCTGTTCTTTTTGGTAGGTGGCCGACAAAGATTCAAAGGAAGCACTTGCAAATTTTCAATTGGTTGGTTCTTTTTGGAGAATCACCGTATGGTAAGGATAAACAAAGTAAGGGAACAAAATTTGATTGGTAAAAAAAGGTTGGTCAATGAAAGAGACTGGCCCCAAATGCTTCAATCTTTTAGAACATTTCAAAGGCAAAACCATTTCCCCATATGTGGGGAGATAGAAAT